GCTGCAGGAGAGCTTCCAGGCTCTGACGGAGAAGATCACGCTGAGGAATATCCTCTGGGGCCGCTCGGGCGGAGGGGCTTTGCTGTCTGGCTGCGGGGCGCGTTCCTTCCCCGAGCAGCAGTGCAGGGGTGGGGACTGACGTCGCTGAGTTGGCACGAACCTGGGATGCAGTGACAGCCGAATCGCTTCCCCGGCCCGTTTATTTTACCCTTTAACTAAGGAAATCCTAAAAATGGTTTTATTAATAGTATCGACTCCCAGTGAGCTCATCTCCGTGTGGCAATTCTTGCTGTCAAGTAAAATAAGCGTCAAAATGTGTGTAAAGATTCTGAAGGTACATTTAAAAAGCAACCATCTTCAGAAATGCTACTTCAGTCAGCATGTGGCACTGCATGTTGTTGGTTTAAAGACAGCTGCTTTTTTTGAACCCTCAAAAAGAGAAGTTAAGACCTCAATGGGCTCTGAGCTCTCTCATTAAATGGTTCTGTAAGAAACTCCCTCTGCTTTCTGAAACTGCAAATTTATTACATTTCCCATTTTTTTTTCTGAAACTCGACATTCCAGGAAACAGCTGCTTTAGTATAAGGGAATAAGGTTTTAGCAGCACTCTTATTCTGATTGCTTAGCTTAAGTGCATGGTATCACCTAAAATAGTTCCTCAGGAAGAAAATCTCTTACGCAAAATATTCCGACTTATTCATGTCCATACAAGAAGGTATTTGAAAACATTAAGAACCTGAATGCTTATCTGTTGCAGAAAGGTGAGACTGTTTTATACTAATACAACCTTGTGCATGCTTCATCTTGCATTAAACATGAATAGGTAAGAGGCTGAGACATCAGTAAGAAAGCTGCTGTTTTTTTCTCACAGAAAAAAAGCAAAATTACAGAATTCTTATTTATGGATATGTTATCTTTAACTTTTTACTGGAAGAAATGGGTGAGCGCATTGATGACCTTGAGAAGCAAGTTGCTGACCTGATGACAGAAGCTGGGATAGAAAACAGCGATGAAGAGAGTAAAGAAACTTGAAGTCTTACTATATTTTATATATACAATTTTGAGCTAAGCACTTAGCATGAAGATATTTTTTACATGCTTGTCATATCTGCATTTACTTGGATTTTCAAATATACTGAGATTTTTAAAAAAGAAAAAAAAATTAATTACCTTGGATTTGCATTTGCCAAGAGACAAAGAACTATGCCACTTTTTCAAAAGAAAAACTTGGCTGCATCTGTTCCAGCCAAGTGCCATGTACAAGGGGTAGTGCAAATTAACTCCAAATATGTCAACCAAGGCTGCACATTTGTAGTAAAACGTGTGTGGCTTAGAGCACTCCTGCCCAGCATTCCTGTCCCTCAAGTATGGTAACCCAGCTGACTGAAGATTTTTGCTGTTAGAAATTCATGCTTTTAAACCTGCTTCAGCTCCCGGTGTGGCTCAGAGCACACCTTAAATACAGTCACTGCAAATACAGCAGCCGCAGGCCCTTGCGGCAGCAGGATGGGGGTGGAAGGAGCAAGGGTAACCCATTGTCGAACACTGGAAGTCAGGAATGTGTGGCAGGTTTTCAGGATAAGCTATGAAATCATTTTCAGAAACACAAAAAGGCAATCCAGAAAGATGCATTTAGCCGTACAGAGGTTTTCCTATTTTTATGCTGAATCACATTCATGAATAATTAACCCTCTAACCTACTTATTCACAGTTTCTTTGCAGCACTGAAATGAGGATTTGACCAAGGAAGATAAAGGGAGAGCAGCACCACTCTGAGTCTGGGAGTTTACAATTAAACATTACTAATCACCCAAAGCGCCAGTGAAAACAAACATGCTTGCATTGTGTCATGATAGAACTTTTTTTTTTTTTTTTTTTTAAACTATTGTTACAGGAAAAAAGGTAGAAACGTGGCTTTGTTAACCTAAATGGGACACTGCAGTTCCCATAATTGGGAAAGGACTGTTAGTTTCAGGGAAAGCAACACCTCTATTTTGTGTAAGAAAAACTATACAGTGAATTTACCTAGCCACAAACTTTTTCAATCTATGAAAGTGTATTTCATATACTATTAAAATTTTAATGATATTTCTTTGTTGCCTTTTTAACTTAAACGTTCTCAGAGTAAGAAGAGCCTTCTATGTCAAAACTTTTCCATTTGCATGTGCTATTTTGATGCTTCTTTAAATGTTTTACATTACAAAATACACCTTATGCGATGTCGTTACAAAGGTGCCTTTGCAAAGCTTCGTATAGTTCTGATGAATATGCACTGTCCTGCAGGGACAGAACTGGCAGTATTTGCACAGGTTACAGCTGCTCAGCTGTCACTCCTCACAAGCCCACCCAAAGCTGTGCACACTTGTGCAGGTAACATCATCCAGATATGCATGCTGTACCAGTTCCTGTTCGTTAACTTTAGCCATTTTGATGAAAGAACCTATTTTAAAGGCTTTGAGACAGATAAGGAATTCTAGTTACCAAACATGCTCTGATCAAGTCATGGTAGAGTCAAAGAAAACACAGTATCTGCACTAACTTTAAGGTTCTTTGTACACCAAAACATTGGCACTTTCTGCAGGAAATATTGTTTGAAATGATGCCAATCTCTGAAAACAAATGCAGAAATTGAAACATTACCAGGTAGACAGAACACCTCAGCTAATCAAAGAAAAAATAAGCTTTTTTAAACTTCAGTGGATGTTAATACTTAAATATCTACCACAGACTCTTCATTAATATCAGAAAATAATTTTAATCAATGCTCTAGCCGTGTAGATTTGCAAGCAATATCAAACTGGGGGACAAGTCAATAAGCTAGAGAACTGGAGGATGAAGAAATGGGCAAACAGGAACCTCATGAAATTCACAGGCAAGTGCCAAGCCTGGCCTTGAGGTCAGGGCGAGCTCACGCTGCAGGGCAGTTGTGAGGGGCTGGCTGGCACGCAGCCCTGTAGGAAAGGAGTGGAGCCTGACAAGTCTGCGTCAGCACAAACAGAGCCAGCAAGTCATTCCTCTCTCTTCAGCTCCTGTGAGACCACACCCAGAATAATGTCTCAACCTCGGGGCACCCCACTTCAACAAATATATTGTTATGAGTTAAAAAAGAAAACCACAAAGATATGAGATTGAAAGAATTCTGTTAGTTCCGCTTTAAAACTAAGGCTTCTTACCGACAACTACCCCATGGTAGAGCATGGGGAAGAGCTGCTCTCTTTTGGATGTGTTCTACCCAAGAGTTAACAGAGCAAGCTGGAACACAGGAAATTCCAGCTAGGTGCAAGGAATGCTTTTTTCAACTAGGAGGGTGCTCAAGATGCAGAATAGGCTTTCCAGAAAGGCTGAAGAATCTTTGTCCTTGGAGATATTTAACACTGGAAACAGTCCTGCCCAACCTGATGAAGTGGGACCTACTTTGTCTGGGAGGTTGGTGGTCCTTTCAAAGGTAAGTGATTCTATAATTAGTAACAACTGCAAACAAGATTAACTTAAGCCGAAAATGGGACCCTGTGTTTGACTTAGTCTAAATCCTCTAAAACATGCTTATTGATTAAAAAAAAAAAAAAAAGCATATTCTACTTTGTCTTGTGACGAACTAGACCAAAAGTCCAGGTGTATCCTTTCTGCATAGTCTGGCTTGATTTTTCTTAATCCAATAGGCATGTATCAGTTAAAACAAGCAAGCACAAAAAACCCAACCCCACACAATACTGGCTCCATTACCATAAAACAAGAGTTGCAGAAATGCAAATGGAAACTTGCAAAGCCATGCCACACTGGAATCCAACCCAAGTCTCGGGAGAACATATGGATTTTAGCATCCCACTAGACAAATGACAGAAAGCACAGCTCATACTTTCTTCAGCCCTTGACTATGCAGCCAGCTCCAGAACTGCAATTACCTTTCAGAGCCACACAATCTACCAAGTACTTCAAACTGATTGCTGTATGCATAGCCACCATGAAACAGAACTCCATCACCACAGGTCAGTTAAGTTGGGGGGCAGGGTGGAAGGTCACAGATGATGTTTTCTCTGAGTTTCGCTAAATGTTAATAGATGCACCTTAGTGTTTTATTACTATTTTTAGTGAATACAGAAGACTAAGTGTAAAAGAAAATCCTGACAGAAGTGCTAAGCCTTCATCTTCACCATCATGACTTTGCACCCAATTACACTTCTTTTCATTCCCAATTACACAAAATTAATGTGAATAAGTGGAACTCACTTTATTCTTTTACAAAAGCTACAATCTAGTTTTCCCAGATATTTATTTAAAAAAAAAAACCAAAAAACAAAAAACATTTGAAATGTTTTTCTGCCAACAGACTTTATGTGTACAAAAATACCTAATACCAAAGGGATAGCACAGGGTAAAGTCTTTAAAAAACAAAGCCAAACCAACCTAAAATTTAGCTAACAGTATTACTGCAGTCAGACACTTTCAGGCTTCCCGTCTTCCCCTTTTCCAAATGGGCTTCAAAACTTTTAAATAATTCAAAATGCGCTCAAAGTTGAAGGATTTCCAGGCTTTTTCTTTAATATATATATATATGTACAGACATACACAAGAATAAATTTAAGTGGACTCAGGGTTAAAAAAAAGGCAGCCCCAAAGAAACGTCAGTATCTGTATTTGGTGGAATAATCTTTTGGTGACACCACCAAACCTCGACCTTTGCGGGCTCCTCTATAAACAGTCTCTATAATGTCAATCATCTCTTGCTTATCTTCCATTGCCCAGTTGATCTTGTTATTGTTACCTGTACCTAAATCAATCATGATGTGTTTGTTCCTTTAAAGGGAGAGAAAAAAACATCAGACAAGTTAACATGGTATTAAAATTCAGAGAGAACCTTTATATCCCCCACAAGAATGCTCTGTAGGACTCAAAAGAAGCCCTTACAACATAAACAGGGTCACAAAATAAGCCTTAGAGTATCCCTCACTCAAGTTGGCATTTTACTGCCTTTTTCTAAAGCTAGAACAAAGACTGCAAACATGCCCCCGAGATTGCTACTCCGTACAATTATCCTTCAGCATATTCCTCATTGTTTGTATTTTTCCCCACGCTGTCTAACACCAGAGAGTTCCACTCCCACCGGTGTATACACCCTTAATGCTGTGGATAGATCTTTAAAGCAAGATTGACAGGCTTGACTGCCATATTACTGCAGTATTCTACACAGGGAGTTTCAGATTTAAAACTAAGAGCAGTAGATAATAAAACAGTTTTCACTATCAACAATGTGTACTCAAAACATCGTTGCTAGGTTAACTGGAAAACAAGCCATTTTCCTATTTAATCAGTTTACTTTTTTGTAGAGGATTGAAAACAAAAGCATCAGTATCTGTTATGCATTTAGGAATTATCTCCTGGGACACTGTGTTTGACACACAAAATTTAACTGAGTTACATTCTAGAAACCATCATGTACCTGAAGAAAAACATGACGGTACAGGGATCGTACAACTCGTACATCTTGTTGAAGTCTGGCACTTCAGTGATATCCACAAGGTAAATAACAGCAAAGTTTTTCACCTAAACAGAAGAAAACAGGAAATTTAAAAGGAAAAGTACGTTACCAAAACTTTGATTATTTGTATTACCAATTAAAAGAGCTAAGCTTTCATTATTGCAACATTTATTTTCCAAAATATTAAGTCATAAAATCACAGTAAACAGTCTTGCCACTATTTTTAACCACAATGACCGAGTAACATAGCAAGTATATTTCAGTTTAGCCAAGATGTTCATTTCACATCCAGCATCAACTGGGAAGATACTAAGCTAAATCAACACCCAGAGAAACAAGTGCCCTTTGTGTGAAACTGAGCTCACAGTGACAGGCACAGCTCTGGACAGGCAGAGTGACTGCTCTGTGCAAGCCAAGCTGGCACATTTTGCCTCTGTCATCAGCTGCTTATAGACTTCAGAAAATGAATGATCTAAACTGCCCTGGTGCTTGCCTCCAAGCATTCTTCCCCCCCCTCTAAACCATGCAGTTAGTTTCTTTTACAAGGCTTATTAAA